CGATATTTGCATAGCTTTGGCTCTCTTTGGCTCTATGGACGCGCAGCTCACGTGGCTGTTGCTTCTCTCCTCTCGCTTCCACCTCCGGTTCTCAAGACTAGCCCCTGGCTGACACAGCTGGAATTCAAATGCACGTAGAGATAGACCTGAACCTTCGGCACCTCCCAGACCTCCCCGATGCGTCTACGCCATTCTTGTTCCAGGGTGACATCCTGCCGCATCCTGTGGGATTTCGACCTCTTTGCGGTGAGCAGACTCATGTTGTGACTTCGAATTGTGGATGAAAACTCGGGTCAATACCGCCGCCCCACCCGCCAATGACGTGCGCAGGGACAAGATGCCTTCGCGCGAAAATACGCGTCCATCGATTGCTGATGATGTTACCTCGAAATTAACGGTGCGTTTATCGAGTCCATCACTAACATTGAGAACCGCCATTCCACAGATGCTCCCGGTGCTTACCCCAAAATCCACTAGGCATACGTACCCGGATGCCTCCCCACTGCCCTCACCGCGATCCACGGAGTCGGCATCCTTTCCCGACGGCGCGTGTTTTTTTACTTGCGGCGCCTTGGCTTTTCGTTGTACGCGGACTGAAATATCAGGGCGGCTTGTGCGTCTGCATTTATATATTCGCGAGTACTTACTCATGGTATTCTCATTACTGCGAAACGCTACTGCAACGACTCGGCGGCGAAGGGCCTCCCATCCGCTTTACTTGTGACCTTCGACGGCTCAGAGGAAGCCGTTCGTTCGATTCGGGTCCGAATTATGAGGTCCGAGCATTCTCTTTCGGATTATTCGCTCTCCTCCACACTCATAATTTCTCCAGTTCTTCTGGGCCTCGGTCCCGCACATTTACACCATGTGGCCGTGTCGGTGGCGTCTTTTCTCCCTCGAAGATCACGTTTGAACCTGATTTCGAATTTCCTGCTTGCGCATTTATCGAGGGCTGAGGTGGTATCAATACCGATTCGGTGGCGACGGTTCTGCAACTGCTCCCCTTACTCTTCTCACCATCATGTCGATTTCTGGAAACTGCGCGACTTGGTCTCTTGCTGGGACTAGGACCGATCGCAAAGCACTCTTTGGGTGGAGGCGACGTCAGTGGGTGCATCTCCTTCAAGTGCACTTCCTTCTGACAGAGCTTCGTTCAGAGGATCCCCCGCTGTTCGCCTACGCGGTCGGTTACTCGTCGTCGCAGACTCGGGTCTAGCTCACCGCACTAGGGAAGTACATGGGAACGTCATGGACCCTGACTGCTGGTCGTATAACTGAACTGCTAGACCAGCGCAACGTTAACAGGCAGACACGCAACACCCATCCCGGCTGCAGAATGTCCATCACTCACTTTGCGACCCTCGTCATCATCTCCCTTGCCGATCTTGCAGTCCGCAACGGCAAGCCCATCAATGCGAGTGTTGTGCAACATCGTCAGTGTCTTTTCTTTATCTCCAATGTATATCGTTTTTGCGGTCTGGTTATGGGTGCGGTTTAACGGCGTCTGCGATAAGGATAGTGTGTTCCCTGGTCAAGGCGACTGTGTACATCTAGTTACTAACATCAAGACTTGCAGGGAATGTCCACTGCACCGACCCCGTGGCGAAGGATCTCTTAACCTTCATATCTGCGGAAGTCGCCCGTTCGATTCGGGCCCGAGTCATTCGCACGGTTGCTAATTTTTTTTTTTCGCTCTCTTCTGGGCCAGGCCGATATCATTTTGGTGGCTTCCAGCCGGCAGGTGAGCGTGTCATTTTGCCATCTTTCATGGTGCGCTTAACGTTTCGGTGCTCACCCTATTGTTTCCCTCGTCCAGACTGGTATGTCCTTTCATCCGCGAGTCCCGATGCAATAGGTAATGACAGTGCTTTTGACGACTCGGTGGCGGACGGTCCGCATCTGCGGCCGATAAATACGGAATTGACAATGTCAAACAGAGCATGCCCGTTTGAGTCGGGCCCGAGTCATACGCTTGTCTTCCAAGGTTCTTGTATTTTCCCCGCTAATTTCAGTTTTCTTTCAGGCGCAACCTTCCCGGACACATATGACTAAAATCCCACAAGATGGTGCCGAGTAACGTTCTCTGCAAGGCAGCTTTTGAATTTGGAGCTCTACTCGTATGTGACCCCTGTGCCATGAATCCTCCTGCATCTTGAATGGTATTTATGTAAATCACTTAGCCCTCATGCACGATTTGACTGATTCCAGTTTGCTCGTATATCCGGCCAGAAGTGCTTATACCGACTGGCGGGCGGTCCGCGTCTGCAAGTTGTTCTTGATCCTGAGGGTGCCCGTTCGACTCGGGCCCGATCCATGGGTTACCCAGGGGTATGTTTTTCCTCCCTGATCTCTCGCGTACTTTATTATTTTTAACGACGTGTGAATTATTGCTCTCACTGAATCTTTGAACTGGTATGCTCGTTACTCCGCGATAATATTTGGCAACATAACTGGTTTCAAACAGCTTCCCGTTGATGCCTTCATGGCGCTCTTCATCGCTAGGTGCTCATCTCACTCCAGACTCAATATTATTGATCTTCTTGGCGCAGAGTAGTTCCGAGGCTGATGCCGACTCGGTGGCGGAGGATCTGACTTTGAAGTCGCTCGTTCAACTCGGGCCCGAATCATCTGCACTCGAATGATCCTTTTTTCTTTCGGGATTCCTTTCCCACTCTTTCTTCCCAGATCAAGTTCTGCGAAGCCCTTAGTACTAGTATCTGACGAACATTGGCCAAATAAGTCAAACTCTCGAGAAAAAAACAGCCACCTCCCCTGAGATATGACTCAGTCCCGAATCGAACGGGCGCCCTCTGCACAGAAAACTGGGTCGTTTCGCAGAGAAACATCGTGTCCCATAATTTTCGGTTCATTTTTCACGCGGCTGCACGTCGCTCGGAGAGGCTGTCAACATTTATCCAGGGCAGAAGAGGTGTTAGTACCGACTCGGTGGCGGATGGTCCGCGCCTGTCAGATCTTGAGAGTGAGTGGGCTTCTCATGCAGGACCCGCCCGTTCGATTCGGGACTGAGTCACTCGAGGATGAAGTTTTTTTTTTTGATTTCTCAACGCTGTGGTCCGCGACTCGCGTTTATCTTCATGCACCGCCGGCAACCGACGACAACTCTATTTTGTCATCCGCATCCACGCCTGGGTGACTCATAGGCAGATGGTCACGAGTAGGAGTTGGGCTTGCGCGAGTAAGGATGCATTCCTCAAGGATTCGAAACTCCACCTTGAAAACCTTGAAAATCAATCTTGGTTGGTGAAGTTGACCGTGTTGGGACAAGAAAAAGGCCGGGGACAGAAACAGAACGTGAAAAGTCAGATAAATTTCCAAGATATGGCTACAATACGGCATACATGCGGTTTAGATCTAGCACAGGTCGAGTTTCCGCCTGGGTTACTCCCCAAGTGCGCTCGAGGGCTAGTCCATGCAGGAATAAAGTCCCCAGAAGACAAAATCAGCTTGCACTCAACGTAGTCAGTCGCGCAGATGGGGGTGCAGCCACAATTCAGGCTTACTGTGCTTTGTGTGCGCATGCATCTCCCGTGCGCGCGAGCTCCCCACGAGCGCTATTTTAATATTTGCCGAGTGAGGGCGCTCCACGCCGCGACTTCCGCTAGCGAGCCCTGCATTCGAAGCGTACGCTCCGTCTGCATGCTCGCCCGCGCATTCTGGCCCGGCGTTCGCCTCAAGCTCGCCGCAAGCTCGCCGCTCGCCAGGCGGGGAAGTCCCAAATTGAGCAAAAAGGTAAGATTAGCTCGAATTGAATGAAGGTACACGCGCAACGCATCTCGGGCTCGCGTCAGCATAATGCATCTCGGACTCGCACCAAAATGCGCTCTGCGCGGGAGGAATCACCGCCTATTCCAAGCGGAAGCACGGCATTGACGCTCGGATATCGGGCTTGAGACACCTCCAAGTGACACACAGCGTAGGATGAGAAAGTAAGCTGGGATGGGGACGCGGAAATAAAAAGAACGGGGCGGTAAGGACAAAAGAGCAGAAAAGAAAAGGAACACTGAAGGAAAGGTGATAGAAAAGAAAAGATGCAGAAAGAAAAGATGGGAGATGAACACATGAAAAGCGAAACCCCGCGCATGAGCGGCGGGCGAATATCAAAACGAAATGGCGAATCAAAATCTGCCCCGCAGCTGCACGAGAACACCTGAGAACACCTGGGTGCATCGTTCCCGAAAAAGTCCCGTGTGTGACCATGAAACACGCCATCCTGACCCCAAAGAGACCTTGCGCGCCGCGCGCACACCGCGATGGACGCCGGCAGAATAACCACCCGTTCACAGGGAGAACGGCCCATCCACGGGGTTGCGTCGCGCGCAGAAAACATTGACGTACCTCCAGCACGCCCTAATCCACTGCCAACAGCGGCGACAGCACAAACCCGTGCGCCCACCCCGCGGTCGACGTCCACACACCATGAACGCCGGCAGAGGTGATAGACGCCACCCATCGGTGCAGCGGAATCAGAGGGCAGCGCAGCCAGGAGAGCGTAGACGCCCGCGCTGATGCAGAGGAAGAGAATGCAGACGCCGGCACGCGGTATAATGAACGCGCGGTGAGCACAGGACGTAGACGTGCAGCGCAGACACCGCAGACACGCGCAGGGATTGATAAAGGCCTGTGCACGGTGATCTTGACCGTGATCATCGGCACAATGCGGAGGGTGCAGAGGGGAGCAGCCCAGGAAAGGTCACACAGTGGGGTTGGGGTTCGCGAGGAAGCGATGGTCGGTGTTGCTGCATCCAAAGGGATTCAACTGCGAAATTGACGACTCGGAACCGCGATGCGTTTGAAGCCATACAGGGGGCTGGCCATCGTATCGAGATGTGGATCCGAGTTCAGGACTCATAGTGCGTATTCGTGAGGAAGACATGGCGCGACTGCTGACCAATGCTGGAGGCGGTGTCCGCCTGGCGTGCCGGGTTGCCGGTCTCTCTTCTTTCTCACCCTCATCATCTTGCGCTGGGACTTACTTCCGCGACTCGGTGGCGAAGGGTATCGCGTCCGCTTCACCTGATATAGTTGATCGATCGTCGCAGAAGGCGCCTGTTCGACTCAGGCCCGAGTTATTTCGTTTGGGCCAGAATTTTTTCCCCTCGCCCTTCAAGCTTCAACTTCACCCACTTTCTGTTTCAATTAATCTCGGAGTCTGGCCCGCTTCCTCACGTCTAAAAACTTTTTTCCTCCGTGCCTGGACAACAACCATCTCAGGGGACCTCACTCATTCCGCGCCTGCACCGAGTTCGGGCTCCAGTGTTATTTTCAGCCGGCTTAATTTTCCTGCGTTGTTCATGGTACGTTCAGACTCAATACCGACTCGGTGGCGGAGGGTCCGCATTGCCTTCGTTACGGGTATAGCGATACAGTCAGCAGAAGACGCCCGTTCGACTCGGGCCCGAGTTATGGGAGCAGTCTTGGACATTTTTATTCTTTTTATATTTTTACCGCCCTATTTATTCCAAGAATATGTTTCGCCCTTTCTTCTGGGAACCCATGTTGCGCGTTTCCAGTGCCTTTGCTCTGAATATCGAGCCTCGCTGATGCTCGTCAGTATTGCACCCATGATGCGTGATTTTGCGCTGATTTTTGTCATTCCAGGTTGCTTGGTTATGCAGGTCTGAACAGATGCTTGTAATGTTTCGGTGGCGGATGGTCCGTATCCGTTGCGTACGAAAGCTGCTGCATTGCTGCGTCTTGCACGCAGACGACGCCCGTTCGACGCGGGCCCGACTCACTACCAGAGCGAGTCATTATTTGCCTTATCGAGGTTGCGAACTTGTACCGCTCACCCAATTATTGTTTAGGTCCATCGGTCCCCTCCACATCCGCTGGTGTGAACGGCTGCATGCCGCTGGTGTCGCCACTGCACAGTGAGTCCACCTTGCATTATCCATTACACTCATTTACGACGTTCCTTATGGAGGTTACAGCCCAGTCAAATACCGACTCGGTGGCGGACGTTCAGCGCTCAGCATCTGCCTACTTATCAGTGTGGCATAGAGTATGCAGAAGGCACCTGTTCAGCTCGGACCTGAGTCATAGTAAGCTTTGTTGTTGTTTTTAGATTTTTAACTCTCTCCAAAATAGTATTCCTTCCGGAATCTGTCCCATTCATTTGTAGGGTATAAATATGTGCGCCCATCTGCGAAAGCTCGCTCATGCTTCTGGGTAGTTCATTTTTCAAGTTCCCACTCGGATAGTACACGCGGTGCGCCCGCTCTATTCCCAACCAGCCCGAATTACCACATGCCCCCCGTCCTAGAGCTCGCAACGTGCATTGCCAGGATGTTTGTCAGTGATAATACATCACCGGACTTTGTGAACTGCCGGCCTACATCAAATGCCGCAGGATATACAAGCTTTTCCCCTCTTACACGAGCAGTAAGCACATGGTCTACGTGTTTACGTACGAGAGACGAACAATTAAACAGAAGTGAGAAGAGCAGTCCATGGCCGTTGTCTGTAGACTGACACGCTGTAGCACATTGAAGACTTCGCGGACATTCTAGAAAACCCATACCTTATCAATTGCTGTTGAACAACGGGCACAGCTCGCAGTCGTCGGTCGGAAGCATCGGGAATTCCGGGCACGGTGAAAGTACGGGCATCTGTGGGGTTCCATTCGAGCCCTGCCAAGGTCGAATCAGACGATTTGACGTTGAGGACTAAGAGCGAGAACAGAGGTGAAAAGAAGGGGATAAGATGTACTGTATTTTTTCTTTCAATTCGACAGGGGGTGTGACATGTGACACGTTCAACATATTCAACACTTCGACACGGGCCAGGTTGGAACGTGACAGCCCAAAAAAAAATCGATACCATCCCAAAATAATTCAGGGGCATTGTAGAGCTGTTTGGGCTTTGCTGCGGAAGCAAGGAAAGCCAGGCAGACATCGGTTCAAATTAATTGCCTCGCGATGGTTCACCCAGCGATTTTGTGAGAGTTTAGGCAGATACAAAGCTAAAATTGACGAAAGACGAAATATGTGGCCAGTTTCGATACAGAGGATGCACAAGAGATTTATTTGTGGTGTCCTCGCTGCTGAAAGACATTTTTTAGAATTTTGTGAACCGTCAAACCTATTCGACAACGCCCCCTGTGACCCGTGACAAAGAATCAAAGTTTGTATTCGACAGGTACCCCTGTGACACGTGACTGTCGAATTAAAAGAAAAAATACAGTATGGTGGTGTAACAATTTCAAAGGACATCCTCAAAAAAGCCGTCCGGAATGCAGCGGATGATTTCCCGGCGGAAGGAACCGTTTCTGAAAACGTTGAAGTTCCGGAATCCCACTGCTATAACTCGAACTCAGAGAGCACACGCGTGGAAGTACCGGGTGGTCAAGCGTCTTTCCTGCTGAATCTAAGAAGTCATTCTGCATAATTCTTCTTTGATTTGCACCGGGAGCTATTAAAACGACTCGGTCGAGGCGAAGTCGATCGCATACGATGAAAACAGGGGCCAGAGTTATCATGTTTCTCATTCGTTAGAAGGAAGTTTGAACTATAGGAAGAGCAGAGAGCGGATGGAAGGGGAAGACAAGAACCAGAATCGGTGGCGAAAAGTATCGCGTCCGCTGCGCTTGCATTCTAAAGCTCGAGCTTAACCAGCGGAAGGCGCCTGTTCGATTCAGGCCCGAGTCATGCCGCATGCGACCGATTCGAAGCCTTTGTTTGCACGCCAATTATACGCACTTTTTCCCCTGTCGACTTTATTTTCCAGCCACCTGCTTCCTCCCGTCTATGACCTGCTCTCATCGGTGCTCCTGGATAACATCCATCGCAGAGGACTTCAATCATTCTGCGCCTACAGTCACGCACCGAATTTGGGCTCGAGTATATTTCTAGCCCGATTACAGCTGTTTGCATATATAATGACACTCATCAAAAAAAAAATGAATAAGATCAAATTTGATGACCCAACTTGCCGTCGACGCCCAGTACCCAGTTCTCAACGGATTCCGTTGATTCCGGGTGCGTTCGAGAGGTCTCGATGATCCCTTTCTAGCCCTACCCTACCCGGCCCGTAATAATCCAAATTTGGTATCCTTAAATTTTGCATCGAGTGATCCAAATGCTGGCTTGGTTTCCCTCTTTCTCCATCAATTTTTCATCGATTTCGGGAAGATAGTTGGCGTCTGAAAGGCCATTTAATGGCACAGGGCTCTGTGCCATCAAAAAATGCTTCCCTCTCCAAATGGGTTCACCGTGAGCTATTGTTTGGATAAATCGGTCAAGGGCCTGCATGAGGGGTGCCCGATGGCCGAGTCATTATTCTTCACAACAGAGATGATTTCCATGGTCCCAGGATTCCATTGAATTCTGACCTACCCAAATCAGTGCCAAACTCACAGAGAAATAAGCTGAACAAGATGTGGTTGAAAGTATTGAGTGCAAATTTGAGCAGACAAAATTTTCAGTATTACAGGTCGAGTAGGTTATAGCAAGGAAGCGCCCATTAAGAGCTCTCGAATGCACCTGAGATCAACCGAATCCGCTGGGAATTGAGTGCGGGGCGTCGATGGCAAGACAGGACATCAAATTTGATCTTATTCAATTTTTTTTTATGAGTGTCATTATATATGCAAACAGCTGTAATCCCCCTCGTCATACGTTGAGACTGATATGGCTACAGACTCGGCGGCGGACGGTTCGCATCTGCTCACGGTGTGCTGCGGTAGACATAGTTTCCGTAGAGGGCGCCGTTCCATTCGGGCCCGAGTCATCAGTGCTGATCTTTCTCAATCGGACCCGCGTATTTCTATTATCTCGCCCTGAGCCTTCCCTCGTCCGGACAGTTACTCCCCTCCACGATGTCCAATGCAGAAAATATTGACTTCGCGCATTCCGTAACATTTTCTTGAATATTCAGGTGGAATGAAGTGCTTTCGACGACTCGGTGGCGGACGGTCCGCATCTGCGGCCGATAAATACTGAAATGAAGATGTCAAGCAGAGCACGACCGTTCGACTTGGACTCGAGTCATCAACTTGTTTTGGAGATTCTGATATTTTGCAGTTGTCGCCGCCGTTAATTCCAGTTTTTCCAGGCGGAACCTTTTCCGAAAATCCAGAAGATGGTGCCGAGTCATATCGGGTTTTTCGCAATGCAACCTTTCGATCTTGAGCCCTCTACTCGTATGTGCCCACCCATGTCATGAATTTTGCTGCATCTTGATTGATATTTAAATTTATCATCCCCCATGCACGATTCGACACATTCTAGCTTCCTCGCATACCCATGCTTGTACCGACTCGGTGGCGGATGGTCCGCGTCTGCAAGTTGTTCTTGATCCTGAGTTTGATGCAGCAGAGGGCACCCGTTCAACTCGGGCTCGAGTCATGGATTGCCCATTTGTACGTTTTTCCCTCGTGCTTGTATTATTTTCAGCGACGTGTGAATCAGTGCTGAGCTGGTATGCTCGTTCCTCCGCGATAATATTTGGGAACATAATGGGTTCGAAATAGCTCCCGGTCAGTTGCTGCCCTCATGGCGCCCTTCATCGCTATGTGTTCCTCATCTCACGCAAGGGTAGTAGCCTTCTTCGTCACTTCGTTACTTCGCTTATTTTCACGAAACCTCGTCACTTTGATCGCATTTAGGGAAAGTTCGTTACTTCCGATGATTTTCTGTGAATGCTCGTCAGGTGAGTAAATTCTAATGAAAGTTCGTGAGCTCACAGTTCTGAGTTCATTCGATGTTGAACATCACGTGGCATGTTCGACCTTTCCCTTCTACCACTACCACGACCATCGTGCCTGCGCAAGGAATCTGCGGGATCGCCGGCAACGCGCGCCGACATCCACGACAAAGCTTTCATCACCGTGGTGTGTGTATGACATTCCCTTCCGTGCTGCATACCTGACATGGACACAAAACCCACACCGTGACAAGAGCAGCATCGACGTCTCCTTCACTCGGAATCGTGCAGGAATAGGGCGGGCGGTTTTTTATTCAGCATGGCAAGGCTACTTCTCTGGTAAGCGGTTGTTTTGGTATTCCATGGCTTGCATGATGCACGGCCCCGGGCAAGCGCGGCGCGAGGTGCAGAGGGCTGGAACTGGACGTGTGAACATCGCGGGTGCCGGTGTCCCACTTGAATCAATAGCTTATGTGCATTGCATCGCACCGCGTTGTGGCCGGAGACTCCGTCGCGCCGCAGCGACGTGGCAACGGCGCGCGTCGGGGAGCCCTCTTCTACTCTGCGTTTGCTCCTCAGCACCGTCGCTGATTAACGGCCGCCGCAGCATCCGCACTAAGTAATCATAATTATGTACTCACCCACCTTACATATTTTCGCACCTACATGTATTTCAGCGGTGCAAGTACATATCCGTTAGACGATTGCATTCCCATTGAAAACATGAACATTTATCTAACTCCCCCACTGGTAGTTTGCGGTATGTAAAGTGGTAGCAGGAGGTTCAATGTACATAAAGTGACGAAATTTCAATGGGCTAACGAGAAGTGACGAGCTTTGGCTGAAATTTCGCTGAACTCACGAACATTCATCAAACTGACGAACTTACACGAATTTAACCGAAGTAACGAAGTGACGAATTTGGCGCGGACTCCTCACGCAAGACTAAATATTACAGATCTTCCTGATGCAGAGGACGTCCGAGCCTGATGCCGAATCGGTGGCGGAAGGTCTAGTTCCGAAGTCGCTCGTTCAACGCAGGCCCGATTCATCTGCACTCCAATGATCCTTTTTTCTTTCAAGATTCGTTTCGCCCTCTTTCTTCCCAAGACCAAGTTCTGCGAAGCCCTTAGTATGTGACAAACATTGGCGAAATAAATCAAACTCGAGAGAGAAAAAAAAAACAGCCACCTCCCCTGAGATATGACTCAGTCCCGAATCGAACGGGCGCCCTCTGCACTCTCACATGGCTAAAGTAGGACCATCCGCCACCGAGTCGGTCTTGGAATTCATTGTAGATATGCAAGAAAGTTGCCAGGAATGGGAAAAGTCAGAGCATAATCGCGCAGGGCAGGTTGAAAATGCCACTAAGATGAGGCGAGGGCTCGGCGACCCGCTCTAACAAAAATAATATATTCCGCGACAAAGTGGTAAAATGATTTATCTCGGTAGAGAATCCGAAAAAGAAAAGTCCTGGTGGCGGTTCATATGACATAACTCGGCCCCGAATCGAACGGGGGTCTTCCGCACTGGAAACTAAGACACCACTCAAATGAGACAGATGCGGACCGTCCGCCACCGAGTCACTTATTTCTTGTGAGCCCCTTGCATGAGCGAGACAAGCGCTGGGGACAGAGCGGGCACAACGTGTTGCATGTTGGATGCCAGAGCGCAGGAGGAAATTCGACAACAGAGCACGAGGATTTTGAAGAATATGTACCTTGTGATTGGCCACAGTTTATCACCGCTATGGCGCACTGTGGAATTTGAGGACATCATCAATTCCGGCTGAACCATGGAACTCATCAGCATAGCTCGCAGGTTCGAATCGGAGTTATCGGAAATTCGGGCACCGTACATATGCAGCGGGTGATTTTACCGCCGTAAGAAAACGGATCATATTCACCGCCTGACACAGGGCTTAATTGGGTTTAATTTGCCCCTTGCGCGTGCTCCGAGAGCATGGGGGGGGGGCTTGTCTTTTTCGTTTACAGGAGAACCCAAAAGATATGTAAGTGGGGATCACCATCCAGCCGAGTTTTTTCCATGACGACCAGATCAGACAGTTGATAAGAAACTGTTGCGCTTATTCAAATTTCTTTGTGCTGACTGATCACCCCCGGAACTGCGATCCGAAATTTCAAAGAGATGATATAAAAGTGCTCCGCGAATCCCATGCCGGTATGGCGACTTTTCATCCCTCAGTTTCGGTCCCAGGCGTCCTCGCTTCCTTCACGGAGACCTGGTCTCAAAGACTACTCGCTTCCATCAACGGGGAATACGAGATGAAGGTCGCCAAATTGCAAGGCGGATTTGTGTTCCATGCACACCATGATGTGAGCACATGTACAACAGTAAGCTCTCGATACTGTTCTGATGGGCACTCCAGACAGACGAAGTGTTTTATATCATTTCTGGCACGGTGACCATCGAGCTTCAAGGCCTGGACATCGACAAGGTCGTGCTGAACAAAGGAGACGTGTTCGTGGTACCTCGGGGTGTTCAACATCGGCCGGTGGTGGAGGAGGGCATTGTTGAGGTTCTTTTCATCGAAAAGGCAAGGGTAGTGAATACGGGAGACGCCAGAGGATAGAATATAGAATTGCTTGGCAAGGCGTTGTGTTGTCGTGTTGTCCGTGCCCGTGACCGCAATCGATGGCTGTGCACAGGTGCGCATCAACCCTTTCTTCAGCGACCTCCATCTTGCCTACTCCTCCTTCACAGCCAGCTCATCGATAATCACTGTGCTCGCACAAACTTTTCGTAGGAACTATCCTCCAGAATCTACCTCATATCGATCAACATCCGCACACTCTCCTTCAAGCACATGTCCATGCAGTGGATTCTCCTTTCGGGTCAGTTATATGTACCAAAGCCACGCCCGTGGACAACGAAGGCTAGAGAGTCCGTGGGATTTCGCGCAAAAGGGCTGCGTATCTAACGAAGGACCTTGAGCAACAACGAGATGAGGTAAAGATTCATTGACGCCCATCTAGATCTAGCGCTTGTATCCACAGTGCGCAGGCTACCTGGGACCGGAGGACGTCATCTGCACGATCTTCATCGCTTGCATACCATCCGTGCACAATGCTGTATTGAGCCCTCAGGACTCACTTCTGCTCGATATTTCGCAGAAATATCTACCCCAAAAATGTATCGCACCCACCTGACATCCTTTGCCGAACAAGCTCCGAGTCGTCCCACGTACGAACACTCCCTACATTCAAACTTCCGATAACCAACCTCGTCTCGGCACCCTTGGCGTGGTTTACAACTGAATTTCAAGAGCCTGGGTCCTCTATGGCTTGACGGGATTGGAGGATTTCGCAAAAAAAAATAGGTTCGCATTCCACCACCTACTCGCCGGACAATAATGTCTCCCTCAGTCAAGATCTTGCCTCCGTTTGTCAAGAATCGGCAAGGATATCCTCCTGCGCTCTTTGTCTTCGTTGGCCTCAAGCTCGAGACTGAACACCAGCATTAAATATGAGCTCCCTGTCCTGTTTGGAACCATACCGCTCACAGATCCTCCTCCGCCGCCTCCTCCTCGTCTTCATTCTTGTACTCCTCCTCGCCTTCCTCGTCCTCCTCCTTCTCCTCCTCAGGATTTTTATCTGTTCGCAATGAGGTAAGCCACAATAATTATGTTTCCCGTCGTCACTCACCAACGGCACCATTCTCGCGGAGGAGATGCACGATTTCTGTATAGCCGTATCGGGAGGCCTCTTTCAATGGACTTCCCTCCTCACCACCCGACGCGTTGACATCTGCGCCATTCTTGAGCAAGAGCTGCACAATCTCTGTTTGACCCCAAATGCAAGCGGCCTGCAACGCCGTGCCATAGTGCCCGCCCACCGCGTTGACGTCCGCGCTCTTCTCAAGCAGGATGCGGACCATTTCTTTCTTGCCTGTGACGCACGCTGCTTGTAACGCACTTCCATATCTACCACCGGTGGCGTTGACATTTGCGCCGCTCTCGACGAGTAATTCAACAATTTCTGGGTTCCCTTGTCTGGAAGCGGCCTGCAACGCGCTGCCGAAATGCCCGCCCGCCGCGTTGACATCTGCGCCCTTCTCGAGAAGAATTCGAAAGATTTCTGGGCTCCCTTCATAGGAAGCGGCCTGCAACGCAGTGCCATAGAACCCGCCCGCCGCGTTGACATCTGCGCCTTCCTCGAGGAGAATTCCAACGATTTCCAGGCTCCCTTCTCTGGACGCGGCCTGCAATGCAGTGCCATAGATCCCGCCCTCTGTGTTGATGTCGGCGCCCTTTTCGAGCAAGAGACGGACAGTTTCTGTATGGCCCTTAGCGGATGCGGCATACAACGCGCTCCCATCCTCGACGCCCGCTGCATTGACATCCGCACCCTTCTCGAGGAGTAAGCGGATGATATTTATGTGACCTAACCCGGATGCCGTGCGCAAAGCAACCACTATGTCGTCCTCATGAGCATCTTTTTTGAGTAGAAGGTGCACTCCTTCCGTGTACCCCATTCCAGAACACAGACACAGTGGCGGTGGGCCATCGCGTCCCCAGCTTGGGGATTGGAAGGACTCGCTGTAGTCGTGCCATTTAGGACAGTGGAGGTGGTTCAAAGCGGCGTATTGGCCGCTTCCAGCCTCCAGAAGACGCATTGTCGATGTTTCTAGTGTGGCTCGGTCGTGGCAGCGTAGAAGGTGATAACACCAATATTTTGCAGCATACGAGGACAGTGTATAATTCGGGAAGGTCTCCGGGTTGAGGGGGTGGTCGGCAAAGTGGAGGAGATAGCCCACGCATGTTTGGGCAAGGAATGTGTGTGAGAATTCCTGGCTGAGATCGCACTTGTGCCTCACTGCGAATTGAGGAGACATGAGGTAATCTGCGACAGATGCATGTGCGAGGATCACCACTGGAGTTTCATCCCAATTATTCACAACAGTAACCAGTCCTTCCAATAACAAACACACCCTGTTGGCACAGTTGTCTCGTTGGGCGGGTTGAAATACATGTCGGTGTGGGTCTGAAAAGTCGAATGCAAGAGCGTCCTCGAACTCAGCGAGGCTAAGTGAGTAGGCAGACCAGACGAGCCAGCGTAGAGCCACTTTCACCAAGACAAAATCACTGGGATCAATTGATTCCAGGAATCGGTCGTAGATTTCAAACAGTTGACCTGGCAGGTTGGCCAGAATAGAGTCCGGGTTCCGATCCAGTTTACGCCGGGATAATTCAATAAGGAGACAGGCAGCCAAGCGAAACCTGGAATTTTAGAGAATAAGCAAGCACGAAAAGAGTGAAATCAGAATCGGCGATGAGTTGACTCACATCCCGTTGCTCTTCTCCACCACCTTTCTAGTGATCTCCGCGGTATGCCTTGCCCAATGTTTCAAATTGGGGTTGGACTCGAGTTCGCCGGTCACGAAGGATGCTATATCTTCCTGCGTAGTTTCGAGCTCAAGAGAAACATGTTCCACGCCCTCGAATGAGGCCGTGAACATTTCGCGGGTTTGACTAGTAAACAGGAGGTGCAGCGGGGTTTTGCTGCTCCAACCTCGAAGCAGCGATATAGACTGCACAAGAAGATTGTGTTCCTTACACTCGTCGAGTGCGTCGAGAACGATATAGGTAGAGCCGAGCTCCAGAAGCAACTTGTCCAGGAGATCTAGAAGATTCTGGTAGGTTGGGAGAGTCTGTCCGTTTGACAAATTGTACTGCTGGTCCAGGATCCTGTACTTGTTGGGAGATTGCGCGGAAAGCTGTAGAATGATGGACCGAAGCATAATTTCTAGGAGCTGGGTCTGTTCGTTCCTGAAATCGAAGTAGAAATAGGCAACTGCGGAGGTCCCGACAGCGGCCTTATCATCAAAGAGCTGCGCAATTACAGTAGAGCTGCTGAACGTCAGATGCAACTTTTGTGGATTATGTTGGCGATGGGCATCACCTTAGTACGCTCTTCCCGGCACCGGCTAGTATCTCGAATTAAATTTTTGACAGGAAGAGATTCAAATAACTCACATTGTCCTTCAATCCAGAGAGTTCCTGGATTTTTCTTCCATTGACGGAACTGGCCCCCATTCAAGAACCAGTTTCCAGTGCCTTCGTGATGGAGGTTTTGCGTCGCATGTTGTTTCTCCGCCATATCGGGTGGGAATTTCAGCCATTCTTGAAGTTTTTTTGCGAGGCTGGGATCAATTCAGTTTCCAAGCAATTTGCACAATATTTAACTGACGCTAAGATTTGGACATCGCTCAGGTCCTTACGGATTTCGGCTTGGCCAATCTGAGTCTCGATACCACGCTTGATCTAACAGAGACATAAGGATGGCAAGGGAGAGATCCGGAGGGGCGTGCTTACAATGAAACGGCTTGCAAAGGAGTCTAGTTCATGCTCGAGAGCCGTCAACCGACTAGCCCATTCCTTCTGGTTTATGGCCCTGAATGCCTTGTTTTGACCATCAAAGGCAGAAATCAGTGCCGAAACCTTGCCAAGGAGTCTGGATTGATTGTAAGGCTTGTCTGCAAGAATACGACGAACAAAAAACCAACCCAGCATATTCCTCAACGTCTTTCTTAAGACTCCCAGGAATCTGTACATCTTCTAGCCCC